TTTTTAATTATATATCCTATAATATTTAATAATGATGATATGATCCACCAAGATCTATGAATGCTTGTGATTTGTATAGTATTTGCTAACTGATTATTATTTATAGTAGTCTAAAATTTAAATAATAAATAGTACTTCTAAACTAATATAATTGTTTTCTTATCTAGGTTATCTTGAAGAAAATAGCATCTTGAGATTCAATAAAGGTATTTATATTCTTTTATATCAATTTTTACATCATTTTTTTAAGTAAAATGATTGTTAATAATAAGATCTAGGAATGCTATACTTAAATTTGCTACGTTTGATCTCATAATGTTTAATAAGATATATGGAAAATGTTACTCAATGATTAATATATATTTTTTATGGTTTATATTTTAAATTTACTAAATTTCTAAAATTTATAATCAAATTGCAATGACCATAAATAATTTTTATTATAAATGTTAACTTTTTAATATATATTATATATTCTATAATATTTAATAATGATGATAATGATCCACCAAAATCTATGAATGCTGTGATTTATATAATATTTGCTAACTGATTATTATTTATATCAGTCTGAAATTTAAGTAAATAAGTAATAATTTTAACTAATATAATTGTTTTATTATTTAGATTGTAAACCGTGAGAAAAGTGGCACTTTAAGATTCATAAAGGTATTTTATTTTATTTATATTCTTTGTCATTTTTTATTTTATATTATTTAAATGAAATGATGTTATTGTAATTACCAAGATCTATGAATGCTATGATATTTAATTTGCTACTTCTGATCCTGTAAAGTTTAATAAGATATGGATAATATTACTCAACTGACTAATATATATTTTATTATATTTATTTTTCAGATTTACTAAATATAGAATATATATCGATGACAAAAAGTACATGTAATTTTTACTCACCATACATAGACATGAAATTTTTAACTATATATGCCATAATTTTAATATATAATAATTGATTACCAAAACATGAATGTTGCATTTTATTTGCGAACTAATTATTTTTATCTCTCTAAAATGAAATAATAATTTTCTTAATTTAAATACAATTATTTTATTATTAAGTTGTTTGTAATTATTTTGTTCTAATG